GGAATTTGTGAAAAATACAGTGTTGTAAATGAACTTTATCGGTAGCTATGTTGACATGATTGCATGTCTCTTAATAATGATATGAGATACTTTTGTTTTAGTTAATTTAGAGGAGAAGTTATTTATAAATGCAGTATAAAGAGAGACAGCTAGATATGTTTCAAATGAACACCTGTATGTGTGTTGAAACTTGAAATAGCTTTATAGGATAGAACTTTCCAGTAGAACTTATGTGTAAATTTAAACAAATTTCAGTATTTTCCAATTTTTTAAACAATGTTTTGAAATAGGATTACTTGCTTTATCTTCCTTAAAATATTTAATAAATGCTTCTAAATTTTTAATTATTGCTTTCAGTGCAAAATGTCTAGATAACTACCTTGCTTTATTTAATAGTTTGAAGGTAATAGCTTCATTTTCTAAAGCAGTAGCAATATCTTGAAATTTTGTCTTCTTACTGATTTAGAAAATATGATGTACGTCATTCTCAAAAGTTTCAATATCTCTCATTAATTTAACTTTTTTTGAAGCACTGCAAATATCCAAATCTTTACATTGTGCAGCGGTGTTCTTGAACCAAATATGGTATTTTTGTTTTACTGCTACTCCAATTATCTGCCCTAGCATAACATCTGCCACATCACCAATAAACATAATCATTTTTCGTAAATCATTAACTTTTGCATAAAATTCTTTTATTTCAGTAACATCTGAAAAACATCACAAGATTTTCATTGATTAATTTCTTCAGAAATAGCTTTATGCTGGTTATTCTGTTGATATCTAAATTTTAAATATGTTCTTAAAACATTTGCTGATAAAAATGTTGATAATTTCAAAGTTAAAGTGTGAAAATTAGATGTCTTGAGTTCTTTTATCATATTGGTTTTTACCTCAGAATTAATAATTTCTTGAAACATGAAAGCATAATTCTTACTTTGCAAATTTTCTGGAATTTTGACATATTTTGCCAAATGATCATTTATATCCTGGACAAAGTGCAGCAAAATATTTATTTTAATTGCCAATAATATATTATCAATTAATATTTTCGCTTCTTTAGTTTTTTTTTTTTTTTTTCTTCTTTTAATGCTCATCTGGGATCTCATTTATCCTGTTGCTGGCAGCAAGAAATTTTTGCTTTTTTGTTACTCTGACTACATCAGATTTAGTGTTTACATGCCATTTTAAAAAGATCCAGTTTGCAATTATCTGTCCATTTTTTACTGCTGAAAAAATCATTATTTCCATGTCTGTCATGGCAGTAAATACAAATATCTCAATTTTCTTGATATAAAAGTATTTCTTGTAATGGAATTCATAATTTACTGTTTGGTGTCTGTTTCAACTGTTTCATTAAGACATCTGATTTTAAAATCATTGTGTTTCTTCTTTTCATAAAGTTTTCCATGGTTTTTATACAAATACATGAATATATAGTACAATGCATAAACATACATGTTGTTAACTACACTTGAGAACAACCCTTCATGTGCTAGTTTGCTCTTTAACAATGTGCACTTTACTTATCACATTAGGAGACAGTGCAGGTGCACCAGCACCATTTCCTACAATCGTATGGTGCAATACAAATGTGTGCATTAAATATCAACAAATATATATAACAAGCATATTTGATACAATTTATTTTAAAACTAATGTAAAAATGTATATTAACTAATCAAAATATTAGTAATGTTCACCTATTATTTTGATTAGTGGGGTGTTTGTGTGTGTGCCTGTTAATTTTCTTTGCTTGTTAAATTTTTTAAAAGCATCAATGCATGCATGCAGGGCTGGCACCAGAGCTGGGGCAGTGGGTGTGGTTGCACTGGGTGGTAGAATGTAGTAGCGACAAAAATTTTAGAATTTTGAGATGCAGCAACCCACAAAATTTAGAAGTACAGTACAAAGTCCGTAATCCAGATTCGTCGGGATAGAGAGGCTGAGCATCTCTTTTTGACTGGAGGGAAGATGCCATACTCCCTGCCACTCACAAAGTGGGGGTGTTTTGGAGAAGTCTGGTGTTAACGAATCAAACACTGGTAGCATTTGAAGTGTATGATTATCAATCTGTTTCAATTTTAGAGAATAAATTTTGACTAAGTCTTTTAATTAAGACAATAATGAGCTTAATGTTGAAGTCAAAATGTATCACAGTATTACGAACATAGGAGGATGCATTTAGGGGCTAAACATAGGGTTTTACTTTGAAAGACTTGAAGTTGCATTATCTGTTTTGCAGCAGTATTCCAGACTGTACATGTGTACATGAAAATAGGCCTTGTAGGTGAAGTAAGGAGAAGAGCTTTGTTTTTAGTTGACAGATAGCTCTTTCAAGCTAATAAGGGGAGTAATTGGGATATGACTATCTTCATTTTTTTTAGCACATTCTCAATATGAAGTTGCCAAAGTAATTTTGAACCTAAGATAAAACCAGGGTATTTATAAGAGTTACACCAGGAAACATAGTTGTAAAAAAAAACGGGAAGTTAATTGTAAGTTATGGGAGGTTGGATCTCGAAAATATCATAGCACATTTAGCGACATTAATTTTCATTTTCCTGGTAACGAGCCAAAGCTCAAGACTAGAGAGATAACTCTGAATTTTTGGGACCAGAAAATCCAGTAGTGTGTTTTGAGCGAGGATGGCTGTGTCATCTGTATAAAGTGCTAGAATGACACTAGGTGATTTTGGAATGTCATTGATAAAGACTATTGAAAATATAGTGTCCTAATAATGAGCCCTGGGCCATGCCACTTAGGATTGGATAGGGGTTAGAAATGACAATTAACTTGTACTGGAAAAGAACAATTACTTATATATGAGTTAATATTATAGGCTGAAAATCAAGTTGTATGAGTGGGATCATGTTACCTATATATCAAGACCTATCAAATGGATATACCTATCAAGGAATATCCAGGAAAAGTGCAACAGTAAGCATTTTATTTCCCAAACCATCATGTGTGTACTCCACTGTCCATAGAAGTTGGTGAGTTGTGCTGTGTGTGTGTGTGTGTTTTTTTTTTTTTTTTTAAATTCAAATTGGTCATCATCAAGGATATTTTGGTTTCAGAGAAAAACATTCATGCTTTCAAGCTGTATAAATTCGTATATCTTTGATAATGAAGATGAGAGGCTGATAGATTTATAATTTTGAGGATTTAAATGGTACTGGCCCAGTTTTGGAACAGGTACAATAAGTGCACATTTCCAGCTTTCTAGAAAATAGCAATGTAATAACATAAAATTAATTAACATTACTATGGAAGAAACAAATTTAGTTAAAAAGTTTTTAATCATTATGATTGTAAATAAGAGTCCAATCCTGGTGCTGCTTTGGGCTTGAGTTTAGCAATAAAAGTCCTAACCTCAGACAGTGAAATGTGTACTGTAGTCTCTCTTAAAAGGAGAGTTTAAGAAACATTCAGTATCTTGTGAGAAGGTATATGTGTTGTTTGCAAAGATACCTTCATTATGGGGTGCATTGAGTTGGAGACGTTTAGCAATAAGCTTAGCTATCTCAGTGTCTTTGTGAGCCACCACTGCATCCGTAGCTAAGCACGGAATGAGTGTTTTTTGGCACATGCATGCCAAAGACTGTCATCGGTCATTAGGGATTTAATAAAATTCTGAGTATTGTAATTGGAAGAATTTGTCACATGATGTCTTGATCTCATTCTGGAGAGTACGAAGTTGAATTTTAAAATCAAGATTTCTAGTTCTTTGCCAAATTTTTCATACTTTATTTTTCTCACGTATTTTGACTATAGTCTTGGGAGGTATTTTAGAAAAATTGAGGTGAAGGGTGGGTTTAGATACTTTTTTGAAAGTTTTGTTTAAGGTACAAGTTAGGGGATCAACTGCAGAATCAATATTTTGACTGGATCTAATTTAAAGGGGGGGGGGAGGGAATACTTTTATCACTTTATACTTTTATACTTTAAAACAAAAATTGTCCTAATTTGTTGAGATGAGTGGTGCTGGACAATTTTGATTAAAAGCTTTGCAATTAAGGTTGATAGGTATAGGGTTGTGATCTAAAAATAAAGAACTTTCAACAGTTGCATAATAATCATATGGAATGTTTCAAAATAGAACCAGCTCTTTAAAAGAGGGGGCTCCTTGTGCTCCATATCTAATGGGTTTTCCAGTGCAGTAGTATGAATTTGGGTCATTTGAGTCCATTTTAGGAGGCTATAGCCAGAAGGATGGAATTTTTACAATGCCATTACTGATAATAACAATTTACTAAAAAGGATAACTTTACATAGTTACCATTACAGAATGGGGATGGTCAACAGTATCTGTGGAAAAAATAGGCTGTATCTCTTCTTCTGAGCAGAGGCAAAAAGCTTAGCACTGGCAATGTTATCAGTCTTTCTATGCATAAAATGTCTATATTTTAACAAGTTGTTAGTATTTTTGAAGTTTTATTTAACCCGCTTTTTTTTGTATTGTCAGAAAGATTACTTTTCTGCATTTTTTAATATGATTTGCTTAGAGTATTTTAAGAAATTGGGTATAAGGTAATTTGCTGTTTATTCATTAATTTATTCTTTCTAGAGTATTTACTGCATTTATTAACCTAACAGTATTAATATGTTGATATGCTACATTTCCAGCAGATTCCAAAAAACTTGAATAGGTTAAAACCATTATGCAAATTAATAATTGCTGTCATTGATTTTTCAGTATCTCTAATACATCTTTACAGAAAACCAAAATTGTGTGGAATAATGGGTGGTTGTTTAGGAAAGAGTTCACTGTGGGAAACTGACTCTCCAATTAGTAATTTTTTTTTTTTTTGAAAAACTAAAAAATTTTGCCTTGGGGCTTGCATAAGACAGTCAGAACCAAAGAGTACAGTCTAAAATAGCTTCAAAGTATTGATGTGTAGCATTTTTTGATGTATTTAATGTACTTGTTTGTGTCAATATTTTGTAAATAATTTTAAATCTATTTATGTAACATTTCTATTTTTATTTTTGACTAGAATATGGAATTTAATGTCATTGACGTCTGGAAGACTATTTAATCAAACGTAGGGATGGATGACATGCCAGAGAATTCCTATCAGTAAGAATTAAATTTTACAGTTAGTTTTTTGTTTCTTAAAATTGAATAGAAATGCATTCTACACGATTATCTGGGGGCAGATTAACCATTCTGCATTAAAAAAAATGTAAGTTTTTTTTTTTTTTTAAAATATTTTTTAAAATTTTTTTTTTATTGTAAAATCATGGAAAAAGTTCTATCAGAAACCAACACTGTGAAAGAAAACGGATTAGAGAAAATGAAAAAGGTATTTGCATATTATCCTGTAGACCATGAAGCTGTTGCTTGGCTGATTAACTGTGTTTTCATTTGAGATAACCCCTGTTGATTCTCGATAAGCCACATTTTGTTTTTATGAACAATTACACAAAATAACTGTTATTGGCACATTTTTCTCCCTTGCATTTTGAAATCTTTTTTTTTTTTTTTTTTTTTTTTTTTTTAAATTTGGGACCTGCCTTTTACAGAACAGCAAGTAGTAGATTATTTTTAAAGTTATGGGATCTTAGCATAAAAAAAAAAGTCTTTTGATAGACAGCTGAGTATGGCTGACAGAGCAGAAAGAGAATAAAAGAAGTACTTATGGCAATTTTGTACTCATAGTGTTCCAAACAGCTTCCAGCAAAATCAGAGGGTCTAAAAAATAGAAATTGATGAAAGCCTTCAATCAAATATTGTTTTATTTATTAGATAAAGAGTAAATAGTCAGTATTAATCCGAATACTGATTATTTATTAGATAAAGAGGCATCAGTTTGCTTAGAATTCCACAGAAACAATTGATGCATCTTTGGTAGAATCACCGCCAACTTGCATGGTTGAAGGATATACCAAGGAAAATGTGTTGGATAATAGTAAGAATAGCAGATAATATATTTAGAAGCTTTTTTTCTTCACACAGCAGTTCATAATAATTGTTTATAATTCCAAATATATACAAATTTTAAAAATCATACTTTAAAAAATGAATAATTGCCTTAGCATGCTTTGTCATAATCAAATAAACCAAACCAAGTGAAACTAAATACTAAAGTTTATAAATAACATGTATACCATGAAGTAAGAAACATAGACCAGGAACAGGAAGAAACAGAAGAACGTGTGAATATGCTTTAATAATTAATCACGAAGACATATTTGGGAAAAAAAATCTAAATGTTTCTAATTAGCACATGTGACATCAAAAATAAAAAAAATAGGCTCTGTTCTTTTATTGGGACCGGATTAAGAAATGTGTGAATGTATGCACATGTGTATGTGTGCGCAGATACAAATCTGAACAAATGAACAAAACTCTAGGGGGTAATAGAAGGCAGTTATATGAGCAATATTCATCATAGAATGTATGGTCGGAACACAAGCGGTGAGAAATTAAAGGGAAGTTTTCCACTGTCACATTTAAAGAATTAACACAAGAATGAGAGAAGATACTTCAGAAAACATTTTATTAATAGAACATGCTCATAGAAATTTCTCAAAAGACTTTCCGTCAGCTGTAATGCAGGCTTCACACCTGCAGGATAGGGAATGATGCACATTTGCAAAGACACATTTCCAGGCATTTCCTAAGTATCGCTGGCAGCAATAGCGATCGTGGCAACTAGATCTATATTGGTTTCAGTGGGACTAGGCTTTTCATATGGCCCCACAGGAAAAAAACCCAAACATGAGAGATCCGATGTTCTTGGTGGCCAATCGGTCTTTCTGGAAGTTTCGTGTATCTAGCAATCCACGTTAGAAAGTACCTTTGGGTGCGAGGACCAACCCTTTTTACACCATTTACTTACAATGTCATCTAGTGGCTCGCCGTTTGCATTCTGACCATACATTCCATGACGAATATTGCTCATGTAGCTACTTTCTGTTACCCTCTAAAGTTTTGCCCACTCATTCAAATTCACCCTGTATGTGTATATGTATATACACACACATACATTCGTACTTACATATATACATGCATACATCAATACACACATGCATGCATACATACATTTCTGAATCCAGTCCTGATAACAGAACAGTACCCAAATTAAAAGATATGTCTAAATTAACAATTTTGAACAATACTAAGATTTCTCAATAATCCTTTGCCTCAATTTTCAAATCAAGGAATATTTTTCAATAAACACGATGAAGACAAATGATAAAAAAAAGCAAATTTTTTAATAAAAATAATGACAAATTCTGTATTTAAAAAATAAGCAATCTCATGAAGACAGATTCTACATTCAAAAGCAGTAAGCAATTGAATGAGGACAAATGATGATAAAAGAAATTTTCACATAAGGACAAATTATAAAATACCAGATTTCATAATAAAAATATAAAAAATTGTGGCCAAATTGTGTATTGAAAAACAATAAGCAATCGAATGAGAACAAATGATAAAAAATCAAATTTTCCAATAAAAATGGAATAATGATGAAAGTTAAAAAATATATAAAAAGGATAACAGTTAAAAATATATATAAAAGCTACTAATGAAAGCATTAAAAAAAAAGGGATCCTGTTTTGGGACACCCTTTATTAGAAAGTAAGAAAATTAGATTTTTTAACAAATTTGGGGTAAAGACTTTAAAAACCATTTTCTTGAAAATAACGTTAAAACCTTCAGAACTGCTCTCATGTACGCCCTCGTTTGGCCTCGTTCGCCAAACATTTTTTGGCGAGAAACTCCACGTTGTCATATTACTATCTAAATTTTTTGTCTACGTTTCAAACTTTAAGCCTAAAATGTCTCCAAAAACGCGGTTTTTGCAAGTGCGAAAACCATGTTTTGAACACACAAACACAATTTAAGCTAAAAATCCGAAACAAAAACAAAAAATTTAGATAGCAAGAATGTAAAGTTTCTAACCAAAAATATTTGACAAGAATCCATGTATACAGCGATCTGTTATAACTTAAAAAATAAATAAATAAATAAATAAAAAAATAAAAAAAATCACAGAATTGCATAATTTATGCAGTGAAGAAATCTGCAAACTACGCACACCTCGCTTAAATAAATTAACATAACAACAATAAATTTCAAGAATACCATGTACACAGCGTTCTGTTTAAACTTAAAAAAACATCTATGAATTGTACAATCGAGGCATTACGCACTATTCAACAAAATAAACTAAAATAGCTAAAATAAATTAAAAACACTTCAAAAAAGAACAATAGCGACAGAAATTCATACTAAAAAAACAATGAACATAACATTCTGCAAAATAAGAACAAGAATAAAATAAAATGCACTTACCATGAATGAATGCTTCTTCAAACGGCAGAAATACCAATTTTAAACATCAGCAAAACAATTTCACCACAAATTTGTTGAAAGCATCTTCTCCCGTTTCAGAACAATGATGGAAAAACATATAGTAGGCAACGTAGCTTTAACATGTCGCCACATAATCTCCATTGTATTTATATGACAGCCAGACTCACTATCCACAAAATTGATACTATCTTTCACAAATAAATGTTCAAAACCTTGTAGAACTTCCAGCCACCCGAAAAAATAGTTGTACCAGGCTTGCGACTTAACATTTTGCTAACACATCTTTCATTGCGTAATAAACCATTTCAAACCACCCACTGCACGAACCAACCAGAAACTAAAACCACTACAGTCAAATCCAAGTTTCCACTTAAAAAGGGTTGCCATAGAAACTAACATCGCCCTCCCCCAAACCATCGCAGAACAGCAGTCGTGTCAAAAACCAACACAGAACACATATTGCCACATTTGGTGACCTGAGTGCATATATAAGAGTAGTACCAAACCTTCTTCAGACAAGTACTTTTTCAACATAATGCCACAATCTTTATTTTGTAAATATGTTTACTTATGAAAAATTTTGAAAGCATTTAATATTTATATTCTTCATTCCATAACATCTTTCAAGTGTTCTGTAGTGCTTTCTGATAACTTTTTATATCTAGAAATAAATGTCATATTTAATTTTCTTGAATTCTCTATAATGAAATTATCACTTAAAGTTTGAAATTCTGAAATTTTTTCCCAATCCAGTTTAGAAGCATTCAATCATAAATTTTTCAGATGAAATCTGGTATCTATGTACATGTGGCATCTTGAATTAAGTGTTCATTTTTGATGAGAAATCTTTCTGATAGTCTTTGATATGCACAAAATTATGCCAATATACTTTGTCTTTCTAAGATAAAAGGTTCTGGTAATATATATTATTTTGAAATAATTATCCAATCCACAGCATTTTCAAAATTTTTAATCAAACTTTCGGATAATATATCTGTTATTAAAACTTTTGTCCAGTTTGAAATTAAAAATATAATCCACATTATTTATTTTTTTTCAACGAATCAGAGAGACCACCATGATACTTTTTAAGAAAATAACTTCTTTGATCATCTACTGCTAAGTTAGTTATTGTTTAATCTCCATATTTTGATTGGATGCATTTCAAAGATGTGGACATGATATGGTCAGCTGAATTATGCAACAAAACACACAGTTATAGATTGGAATAACTGCCTGTAGGAAGTTTGCACTTGTAACATTTTAAGCAGAATTTCCAATAAAATCAGAGGGTCTTAACACAGGAAAGACTGATGACCCTTTGGTGAGATAGCCAGCTTTTATGCTTTGATGGTAGCCAAACATTCCTAGTCAAGGATAATATTATACCTTAATAATAAGTACCTTAAATTTTCATCAAATGTAGTTCTCCATTTAAAATTTTGTTTAGCAATAATTTTTGTAGGTTTTCCATTGTTACAGCATAATCTCATATCTATTCTCTTTCTAATGTTTTCCATTATTTCACCAAAAATTATTCATCAATTTGTAGAAGTCTTTTTCAAAATTGTTAGTGGCATTAGTTCTGATTTGTATATTCACATCTATATTTTTTTTAACCATGGAGAGTCTTTAAATACTGATACTGTATGAACCTTTTGCAATTTTAAGCCCATTTTTAAATACCTTTTTTAAAGTTTCCATAATGAACAACATAGTGTTCTTTATTATAAAGTCTTAGTAATTTAGCT